TTCCAATGCCTTAATAGGGCCGGGGTGTAAACGAGTCGAGTGGAGTCGAGTTCAGTTCTTGTTTAATCGAGACAAAGGTTTGTTTGTTTTTTTTCCTGAGTTCGAGCTTGACTCAGGCTCATTTGTTGAGCTCGAGCTCAGCTGGAGTGAAAAATATGAGGCTCGAGCTTTATAAGTGATCTTGATATATATTAACTCGTTTTGGAGATTGATTTTTTTATTGATTTTGAATTATATATGACAAAAAATTAATTAATTATGCTAACATAAATGTAATATGTTAATTAATATTAATCAAGTTGGCTTGACAAACTGATGACCGAGCTAGGCCAGTTCGAGCTCAAGCTCATATAATATCGAAGCATAAATTCAAACTTGTGGTTTGGTTTGATCAACTAAACTCGCAAGCTCATTTGTAAGTCTAGTTCAAACTGGCTTACGAGCAGATTTGACTCACTTGCTCCCGTATGTTTTAAAACTCCATTACAAGAAACAAACTAATATTTTTTGGAGCACAAAATATTATTATATTACTAAAACTATTCTCAAATACTTTCAAATGTGATCAAAGCTTACATAATATTCTTTATTTGTATTTCAACAAATCTTAAAATTATGCTATAAGATTTTCTTAAAGCCATTTTTTTTGTTTTTAGCTCTATCTCTATATCTTATATAAATATACCATTTTTATAGCTTTATCTTAATAAACGTCAGACCTATTTGTCTTAATTTCTATAAGTGAATAAATGAGTCAAATCTGACCGAACATAAATGTTATTTGACTTAGTTCACTGATTCATCTAGTCGAATATAAGCTATTCATGCATATAAATTCTATTTAAAAGTTATATAAAAATTATATACACTACAAGAACATCGTCCATTATCGATGGATTTTTCCGGGGGTTTTCCGACATATTATTTTTCGGTAGATTTCTGATGGATTACGATGAAATTTATTCTCGATTGATTTCTAGTAGATTTTCCGGCGGCTTTTCCTACAGATTTGTTTCCAGCAGATTAATAATTTCTAGAAAACATCATATATTCATAATTTCAAAATAAGAATTAAATAGTTTGTCGTGCTGTGGGCGGCGTGGAAGCCTGGAGGGCAGCAGGGCAGGCATCAGGGGCAATGCAGGATGGCGATCGAGTAGCCAGGCAGAGCGAGCGGGAAGAGAGCAGCGACCGCAGGTAGGCGTACAATGGGGCCCGGTGGCTTCTGTGGGTTTTTTGTATATTTCTTGTGGCCTTATTATGCTTGATAGCCACTAAAAAATTTCTCCTGCGCAAGTTTTACTGGCAGGGTTGGAAAATCCCAAATCAGCCAGAAATGAGAATTTTTCGTCAGGTGATTTTCCTGTAGTGATAATATCTATAATTAGTTTTTTTAGCTAGTTAAATAAATGATAAGAAAATGAATGAATTAGTCTTCTAAACTTTACTAAATGATCAAAATAATCTCCGACTATATAACAATACAATTTGTTTCATTGACTTTTTAAATAAGAATTACATTTCTTTCTTTGTGAGTTAATTGAGATCCAATTTAAAAAAATTAAGAGACTAAAATAAATCTTTTTAAATAGTGAAAGATTATTTTGATCATTCATAAATAGCCTGAAAATTATTTTGATTCTTATCCCAATAAATAATTTACAAAATTTAATATCATAGCCAGAAACCTGAAATCAACCCGTTTTTGACCCGGTAAGGCATGCCATCGCGTCAGCCGTCAGGCCAGCCGTACGTGTCAGTGAGTCGTGACCACTGCCCGCTTCTAGCGGTCGCTTCGCCGCTTGACCACCGCTTGATTCGAACCCGCCCCGTGACCGTGAGTCCGTGACAGCTGCCACTGGATGCCGGACGTCGATGCCGCCGGACGCTGCTGCCGCGCTGAAGGCTCGCTGCAGCCGAACGTCACTGCCGCCGATGCCGTGAAGGCGTGAAGCTGCTCCCGGCCTTGCCGTGTCCCGCGGTTCAGAACCGATAAATCGATCCGTTTGTAAAAACGGGTCGGATTCGGGTTGACCCGAATAGTGCCGGATCATTTCGGGTTCGACCCGTGACCCGAAATTGACACCCCTAATCATAGGAGCTAATAAATTATAATCAAATGAAACATAGTTGAATGGTATGAAAATCACATCAATTGATGATACATCGCTTTTTCATTGTCCACCATTGGTCCATAGTCAATATCCTTCTCCACTCACCAGGTCAATCAGATGGACGGTCCTGATCTATTGCCTGTCATCTGGCCCACGGTGGGCCCTGCTTGCTCTGACCTCCCCCCATTTCGGTGTCAAAATCCCTCAGTCAGAGGGTATTTTAGTCATTTCAAGTTACAGAATAAGTCGGTGTCGTTTTCTGTGGTTTCTGTACAAAAGTTAAATATGTTGCTGAATTATTCTCGACGGCAGTGATGACGTGGCATCCACAAAAGAATGAAAAGGAGTTTCTTGATTGTGGCTACCGTTAGGTGAGGTTACCGCAAATGGTTTTATTTTACTTTATTTTCACTTTAATCTACATTAATTAGGTTGCATAATTAGGATGGAGTTAATTTATTTGTTAATTTAGAATAAAAATTTGAAGATCTTTAATAGAATTGTTATAATTCTTTTAGTAAAATTTTTATTTTGTAAAATCAAATTAGACATTTAAAAGTTTTTTTAATATAAATATAAAGAGTATTATAATTAAAATCTATTCATAGGACGTTTGAATTATTTTGTTATATAAGAGGAGCTTATGATTTTATGTATGTATGATATCATCAATATGAGGTTTGGATTATTTGGAATATATAGTGATTCTCATCTTGTGATGATCTAATTGATTTGAGCTCACTATGCATGGTAAAATTAGATTGGATATCTAGGTCAAGTTGCTTAATAGTATGGAATCATAGAAATTGGTCAAAAAATTGCCGAGCAATGCCTATTATATATTATGACACATATATTATAGACTCTCTGATATATTGGTGGTCAAAATTGATATAAGACATGAAATAACAAGCTATATATACTACTGGATGGGAATGATTTTTTTTTTTTTTGATAAAAATTTAAAGCTATTATGCTAGTATTGCATAGGAAATATCACATGTAATGGGAGCCTAACATCTCTAGTTAAGTTAGTGCTTGAGCTTATCAATAATTGTCTCACTAACATTTTCACAAGAAGAGTTTCAAGACCTATCAAGAAGGTTTGCAATATCATTTGCATCAACTTCATAGGAAGGTTTAGCATGGGGGCCCTAGGGGGCATGGGCCCCCACTGGTTGCTAGAGCCTAATTTTTGCTTATTTATGATTCTGTAATTACCACTTCATAAAAATTAATGCCTTTCTTTTTACCTTCAAACTCACCTTTCTTTCATGTTGGCGGCTATTCTTTCACACGTGCGGACGTACTGAACACATTAGTCTCTTTTTCCTATGAAGATAGATGACTTAAGAATATAGGCTGACATCAATGCTTCTAGCCTACATTTAAGGTGGGAGGAATGGGCCTAACTTTAACCATAGATTTTATTTAGTTTTCTTTGAAACTTAAAATAACGGCTTCGAAACTTAAAGTTATGGCTATCACAATATCACTGATCACTTTTTTTTATTAAAACCAAGAAGTGAATATATTGATAGCATGATTGCATGAAAATTTTTCTAGCTTAAAGAAATTGTGATGAAAAACATTGTGTATAATTGACAAGTGAGTTTGAGTAAAAAATAATCGCATGGAATGATAATATCCCAGTATACTATAGTAGTCTCACCTCATCAATGGGGGGCTGATGAGTCCAAAAGTACAAATTCATAAGAAAGCTGTACTCAAGGAAACAAACTATATGCAAATGATTATGTTGATATCATATTTGTGTGGACGGCTCCAATATAATTATGTCGAAGCCATTTTTTATTGTTATATTCTTCTAGGATGACTACCCATAATATTATCATGTTTTAAGCTTTCTTGCCAAGTTATGCATAGTCAAGTCACCTTACCTATGAATGACATGACTTCCTTAGTTATTGTTTCATAGTTTTCCACTATGGTAAATACAAGATGGGTAAAAGAATGGTGTTGAGGAAAAGGAAACAAACAATAGAATTTAAGGGTAGTCGATCATTGCCTAGGCTGACTAGGGAAGCCTTTGTTAAAATGGTTAGGTGTGATCTAGCATATTTTAGTGTCATTTTGATATTTTGTTAGACTTGATTTTGAGAGGCCTTGATTTATTTGCTTTCAGCTCAAGATTTATACCAACTATTTTAAGTAAGTTATAAATTATAGAAATTTATAAAAACTTTACTTTTATACTATGATATTATTGTAAACATCATCTATAAGAAAATTAGGATGGCTTGCAACACCAAATTGAGGGGTAATTAAAGACTCTTTGCATCAACTAATACTTAATATTTAATAGAATAAACTCCATTATTGAATCATGGCAGGTCCCTAATGGGCGAGTCAAATCCAATGAGTATAGCTTGACCCGACCATTTGAACCATCAACTTTTTGGTGTCACAACTTATGTAAACACAAATAAGAATGAAAAACTTCTATATGAAATGGTTTTCAATCAAGATCAAATTCCGCAAAGTTTCAACAATTACAACCCAAAAACAAACAAAAATAGCAATAGAGGTTGTCCAACAATTATGATCTTCATGAAAGTAAAGACCTGCCTACATTATAAAGAGGTAGGAATACATAAAAAAGATAGTCTATCATTTGCCTTAGTGCACAAGAAATCAACCAAAGGCCCAACCTTCATCTCCCAAAATTATCATAAAGTTAGAACTTCAAATTAACTCATGATTCATACCTTACCAAACTAGTTATAACATCTACTTTTATCAATGTTGTTTGGTCACTGTTCTTGATTACATGATCAAAATTAAGGCCCAGCTGCTAACATGTGGCCCCTATATATATATTCCTTCAACCCCCTCAATCCTTTCTATATTGCATCACAACCAAAAGTAAGCAAAACCAAACCACACAAACATAAGCAGCCAAAATCCAAGAAGAAAAGGCAGACCATAGAAGACAACCAAACATAGAAGAACAATTAAGGACATCACAGAGAGAGAGAGAGAGAGAGAGAGAGAGAGAGAGTAGAGAGTTATTTGATATAGAAACAAGTTCAGCTATGGCTGAAGATTTCCAAGCCAACAATTGGTGGAAGACTTCAAGGGGAAGTGGCGGCGGTGGCGGTGGTGCTGGTGGTGGCTTTGATGGTGGTTCACCAGCGACATCGTCGAACGTTTCTTGCTCAACTACAATAACTGATGTTACCGGAGCCCCGTTTGCTTGGGTCGGTGGTGGTGCTGCCCGCCCAATCATGGACTCCACCTTACAACTATCAGGGTTTGGCCTCTCCTCTCCCTCCATGGATTGGAATCAAACTCTACTGTAAGCATGCAGTTGCTTCATCTCAGTCATTCAAATCATTTTGAGCAAAATTACTCTGAATTGAATGAATTCAAAATTCAATGATTATGTAGTAGCAGTGGCGGAAGAGCGGAAAGTAGCTTTCAAGCCATGCTTCAAGAGGATCTCAATTCAAGATCGAATTTTTCTGCGGCCATGGATGCAGGTGAATCATCTTCGAGTGTCCAACTCAGAGATATGAACCACCCTTTCTTCTTCGAGAATTCTATTATTTCTAGCGGCACTTTCCCTCTTGTTTCCTCTTCTTCTTCTTCTTCAATCATGCAAGGGCTACTCGAGACTGATTCGAGACCCGAGCTATCCATATTCGATAGCCAACACATGCTTCAATACCAGCACTCTCAGTTTCTGCAACAAAAGCAACAATCTGCCATAATCAATCACTTACAGTTCGCAAATAACACCCCCTTTTGGAATGCTTCTGCTTCTGCTTCTGCACAGCCTTTTGAGTTGCCAATGAAGGTAAGCTATCTCACTGAGTTAAGCTAGCTCCTTTGATTGAATTTGTTTGTATTTTAATCTGTATTGTTTCCAATTGTGAGTAAGTATTAAGTAATTATGGGGATTTTTCTTGATGCTATCTATATAGAGCTTTGATGGAGGTAGAGAGAAGAAGAACAGTAGTGAACCTGCAATGAAAAAGATTCGAGCTGAGACACCTTCGACATTGCCAACCTTCAAAGTATCGCCATGGAATTTAACTTTAAAAAAAAAATTCTTATGCTCTTCTTTATATATTTTCAGAAAATTTGAATGGTATGAGATTTGGTAGCTTTGATTAATATTATTATCGTGCTTATAGGTGAGGAAGGAGAAATTAGGGGACAGAATCACTGCTCTACAGCAGCTGGTTTCTCCTTTTGGAAAGGTATTTTCTTCTCATTTTCATTTTCTTTACTCAATTTGCTGTGATCTTAAAGATCAGAAAGTCTTCTCTTCAAACATTTTTTTTTCTCAAAATTCAGATCATAATACAAGAGATACTCCTTCAATGGCCAAAGGGATATGGAGAAAATTTAGTCGTTGTATTTGTTTTTGAGATGACTGTTAACTTATACTTAAATAAATTATCACTATATTAAATTATTTTAAAACAAATATAATCATCTAAAAAACTATAAAATAAAATTTAAGTTAAAAAAATTTACTCCATATGTTTATAAATAAAGAAGAAGAGAATATTGTTAGTACAATGGCAGGTAAAGCAAAGAATGTCAGATAATATGGTTCAAAATAAGAGAAGATAGTACCTCTCTCTCTCTCTCTCTCTCTCTCTCTCTCTCTCTCTCTCTCTCTCTCTCTCACCCTGAGAGAAGCAACATCAAAAAGAAAAAAAAAAACCTTCCCTCTCTCTCTATAAATATTAGCTCCTCTCTCTCTCTCTTTCTATATATATATATATTATTGATGTCTTATAATTGTAATATTGAATTTTTTTTGCTTGTATGAATTTGTATGAGGAGCTTCTGATATAACTTTTTCCACACATTTCATTAGTGTTATGATAGCTTGAATGATCTTCTAACTAAGTAAAGGCAGTTCATAGTGGAGCCACCACATTGCATGCGTGTACTGCTTGATGAGTATCATCGATCAAACTCATCAGCATTAAAGTATAAATTTTACATGATATTATTTATAAAATGAAAAAAATAATATAAAATTTTTGAATTCTTGTGAGATATTTTATCTCATGAACTAAATTTGGAGAAGGAATGAAGAAATTTTTACATAATTAGTAAATATGTATGATTCTTTTTTTTTTTTTGGTAAGAAATTCAGTGATTTTTTTGAAGTTTGTAATCTATTCTTATATTCTTTCTCTTTCCCTTTCTTTCTAGACTGATACAGCATCAGTGCTCCATGAGGCCATTGAGTACATCAAATTCCTTCATGATCAAATCAGTGTAAGTGAGATGTTCATAAGAAGAACATGTACAAAAGCTATATGTTATGGGTTTAACAATTTAATTTCATGGGGATGGATTTAGGTGTTGAGCACTCCATATTTGAAGAATGGTCATCCCATTCAACAACAACAACAGGTATATTTTTCTCCAAAATCTTAAATTTTAATAGAGAAATGAACACCATTCAAAAAGAAAGATTTTGTAGAGAATTCCATAGTTATTTTCTAAGAGATTTTAAATATTTCTTCTTCTTTTTTTCATGTGAGATGTTGGATTTGACACATGTGAAAAATCTTCATAAACCTAAGTGAATAATCTTTTAGTTTTTCAAATACTTTAATTTCAAAACAACTCATAACAAAGCTTTTATTTTTTTAGCTAATCTTAAATCTCCCAAAACAAGTTGATCAGAAAGTGATTATGTTAGTGCATCCAGTTTTATCAACTAAGGTTAGAATAGATTCCTTAAAGTGGCACAATCAAAGTATAAGGGGAGAATGTTAATGATAAGCTAGCTTTTAAGGTTGCCACAACTCAAAATGAAGTCGTCAATGAAGAGATGGATTGGAAGGTATGCATTCCTCTATTGATATTGAAGCAAAGACCTCCAATGCAAGTCTATCAAGTAGAGAGTTTTTAGGCTTGAAGTCTTGAGCTAGATTGATATATGTAAGTTGCCTCAACTTGATAAATGAATCAATTTAGGCCTACACTTCTCACTAGTAGTTAAAGAGTTTTAGTATTTCATGGAGATGATATTTTCATAATTACTTTAAGTTTTTCAAGATTAATTAATATGCATTCCAAAGGGAGAAGGAGATCCAAAAACAACATATGAATTTACTCCAAGATGTTGTTGGATGGATTAAGTCACACAATATACTTCTTTAATGTGGTAAACATTTTATAAATGTTTATGATATATTATGTTGAAGTCTTGTTTTTCATGAGCATGAAACATTAATATAGATTTTGATGTTCCAATCTATAATTTTTTAAAAAATATTATGCATCATTTGTTAGTAAGTCGTCCTAATAATTTTCAATTTAAACATCATGACATTGTAACTGTGTAACTTATCATAATAATGAAAAGAGTCTTCCCTTAATAGGTTGGATGCATCTTATTTTTTTTATAACATGAGTAAGCATCAAGAAAGCCCATTAATTAATGAAAAGTTGAATATAACACTAATCAGATCATCAATTCACGAAAGTTGGTAGTTGTTTTTTGGACAAGCTTGGATGAGATTTATGAAATTAACACACATCCTCAAATTCACATCAACCTTCTAAACTATAAATTATTTAAGTTCAATTTTAGTATTAGGCCTCAAGGATGAAGCTAACTTTTAATAAGTCATGGATTTCATATTAGATGGGCTCAGCTACTCTTGTGGTGACTTGACGATATTTCTCCTTGATTGGCCTAATCAACCAATGAATATTGAATCGATGATAAATGATACATAAAACATTTTGCATTAAAAGTAAGTGAAAAAAAGGAAAAATTTCCCTCATCTCCTTTCTCATTTTTGAGGTTCTAAATGAATGATAAAATATTGCTTGAAATAAAAAAAGGATGTGATGCTTTTTAAAAGTGTCTATTGATTGAACTTCATTTAGATGGTCATTGAGGGAGAGAGTCTCAACAATAATCTCCTTGGAAGATAAATTTCATCTCGAGATAGAGCTAAAACAATAGCTTTTGTAGTCACTACATAGTGGACATAGCTGATTCTCTTATAGAAGAGAAAGAGGGGCATCTTACAAAAAGAGCTCAAGTATATATTTTTATCATGTTGATTAAATGATTCTACTTGTACTATAATTTGTTATAAGTGATGTAGTTATTAAGTGACTTATTCTCAAGGATAACCCATGATCATTGGTTAGCTAGCTAGGGTGATTCATATGTTCTTGTTCTTGGTCTTTGGTATAATCCACACTCACCTTACTAAAGAGGATGTTGAATTAAAATTTATCCATGGAAGGGTATCAAGACCCTATTAAGAAAATGAGTCACACCAAAGGTGCAAGAATAAGATAGATAGAGAGAGAGGGAGAAAAGCTAGCTATAAGATGAATATGCTAAATAGTTTAAAAAAAAAAAACCCTGTTAAACTGTTTCAAACAAAGATGGGCAAATCAAATTGAGCTTATGGAACACTTTTTTTAGAGAAAAGAGATTTTGCTAAGAATTCCTATGAGATTTTAAGTAGGTCTTTTCATGTTCTTACACCTGATTAATTAAGGACCCCCTATTTATGATTTAGGAGCTATAGAATTGACAACATTAGATTATTATAGCCAACTTGGTAGCAAGCGTGCTATGTTTGAAGTTGGTTTCTAGTTAGGAGAATTGCAGGCAAGTCCCTTGAAGTATTCTTCTAACAAGATTCTCTAATCAGCTATATATCAAATATTGCACACATGGTAGTTGACGAGTTATAAAAATTGCATAACTATATGCATATTACTTTCAAAATTTAGTTGTTATAAAAATAAATAATCATGCATCTAAGGTAAATTAGATCAGAAGCTCACTCCTAAACAATTTGATGAGTGCTAGACACATGCACAATTAAACATGAATATAGTACTATTCAAACAACAAGAGCATGTCTTGTAGTACAAGAAGGCATCTTTTAGTTCTTATGGAACAATCTAATAGTTTATATAAAGTCATCATGTGATTTTTTTTTAAGAATAAACATTATATTATAATCTCTACATAAATAATTTATATATTATTCAGTAGGTCTTATTATTTATAATTAATTGTCTTACACTATAATATTTTATTTTATGAGAAGCCCTTGATTTTATTTTCCTCTTTATTTGCAGAGCTTAGAGAAGCTCAAGGAGGGTGAATGGCAAAAGCAAGATCTAAGAAGCCGAGGTCTATGTTTGGTTCCCATTTCAAGCACTTGCCTTATGGCCACTGAACCTACTGCTGATTTTTGGACTCCAACTTTTGGAGGAACCTATAGATAATGAAGAAGTTGGATAGACACTTAGGGTTTCAGGAAGATCTTTAGAAAGAGAAGGCAAAAGCTTCATATTATAAACTTAGCCGTTAGGGAATTTATGATGAAACTTTAATATAATAAAAAGTTCTTTTTTTTTAATTAGGATTGCTCCTTTACATCTAACTAGGAAATATATTTTCATTGTGAAAAATGATTATTTGTAATATGAGAAAAAATGTTGTTAAAAAATGCTAAAAAGGTGCTTTATTTATGAGAAAATGTGACTTAGTTAAATTTTGAATATTACACAACTCTCCTTGGCCTATTGGTTGTGAGCTTAGGCTTCCAACTAAGAGGTCCAAGGTTCGAGTCTATGTGTATGCGTTGTGTGTGTGAGTTTGCCTTAAATGGCCTAAATGTCCCAAAAAAAAAAAAATTGAATATTGAGCAAACAATAGAGTGAGGCCTCTCTAAAAACAGAACTCTTAAAGGAAAAAGGAGATGGAGAATGAGAAAACACAAGAAAGAAAGGAAAGCTACAATTCAAAGTCTCTTTTACTAGTCTGGAAAGAAGAAGTAATGGTAATAGAAAGAAGAAATTGGAGAGGAAGAAAAAGAAGGTAAAGGATAAAGGCTTGAGAGAGAAAGCTGGAAATTATATTTTTTAATATGTGAGGCTGGCAGAAGAAAAAGGGAGCTTTGAAGGGAATAATAAAAGTATTTCTGTTAAGTATTTTAAGGTGGAGAAGGAGATGAAAGATAGTGCTAAATTTAGCATAAATGAGGGGTTGGTTTTAGAACTATAATATATAAGGAAGTGTGACATTTTATGTTTTATATAATGATTTGTGATGAATTGTGTTTTTTTTTCCTTTTTTAATAAAATGAGGACATCTTTAGTCAATTTTATTTAGATATTAAGATTTTATTTGTAATAGTTTTCTTACTTTTTTTTATTAAACAGCTTTCTAGTACAAACATTTCTTGAATTATAAATTTTTGTACAAAAAAGTTGCTTAAGAAAACATTAAGATAATTATCTCAAACGAAACTTAGGCTTCATTTAGGATAACTTTCTTACTACTATGTAAAGCTACTCTAAAGAAAAAATTAACTTTTTAAAGCTGTTGTAGAAAGCAGCTTTCTAGTACTTCTTTTCAAGTTGTTAAAAAACAATGACAAATTGAAATTGTGTTTGTGATCTGAAAAACAAAATAGTAAGAAAGCTTTTCTAAACGAAACATAAATAAAAAAAGGTGATATTTTGATGTTATTTGTTTGTGTAATTGGGTTTCATTATCTCTTTTATCTATCTTCCTTTAGTTTCTTGACTTCTACCTTACTAAAAAAAAAAAAAAATTTCCCTTCAAAAAAAAAAAAAAAAAAAAAACAATTCAATCTCACTTAGTAATAATTATATTCTTGAATAATGGCAAGTGGAGAGCCCCTTTTATTGAGGCTTCCTCACTTTTAGCACTTTTATTTGTTTTGAATATGATAGTGGAAGTCAGAGGCTATCATTCAATCTCTCTCTCCTCTCTCCTCTCCTCAGCTATATATTCTATGGTATTATATTATTGTGACATTACATGGAGCAACCTCTTTATATAAATAATTAGACTTTGAGGATAAGAATTGAAGATTATTTTAAATGGGAATTTTTTTTTTTTTTTTTTGGGTAAATTTTGGGGCAAAGCCCGTATATTTATAAAAAGAGATTACGGGATCAGCAAAACCCAAAAAAGGGAGAAAAGCTATCCACTAAAACATTACAGGGACTAAAAGGAAGAAAAACGAATGGGGATAAGATACAAAAATTACGGACTCAGGCAAAACGGAACTAACAGTTAAAGCAAAAAGCTTTAACAATCACGAGCATCAGATTTAATCGACGGCAGAGCTCCCCCCTGGTTGCCGCAAAGACAAAACCGATAGACAACAGAGATCCAAAAAGCAACCAACCAGCTAAGTAACAAGCAGGCCCCCCAGAGGGAGAGAAATCTCCCTGGCTGCCCACAGAATATCAAAAATTTCCTGATAGCTGCATCGTATACCAACTCAGAGCAGGCCGTCCAAGGGAGGAGAGCCAAGGCAACCATTTGTTAGTTCCAGTCGTCATCGTCTGGTTATCCCACAGAAAACAGCCCCAGCAAAAACAATGACCAAGGAGGCCAGTCAAAAAACCACTCCAAAACTCAGCCACCATTAAAGACATTAGGAAACTTAATTTTGAGCTGATCCAGATTTTTCCAAGCAATGGTTTTACTAAAAATAGCAACTTTAATCTTCCTTTTGATGGCATCAGTAGACTTAACCACTCCAGAAAATATGCTTTCATTGTGAGCTCTCCATATATAATAGACAGAACAACAAACCATAAAGTAAGCAAAATTACTCCGAAAAGTAAAGGTATCCTGAATGTAATCAAAAATCTGTAATAATGTAGGCCTGAACAAAAAAGTGTGGAGTTGAGGAAGCAAAGCTGTAATAATTTTAAAAGAAAATCCGCATTGAAAGAAGCAGTGATTTATAAATTCATTCTCCAGGTGGCATAAAGGACAAAGAGCAGGAATAAAAATATTCCTTTTAGCAAGCACATCCTGAGTTTTAAGGCCACCTAATAACGCCAGCCAAACAAATGACGAATGGCGAAGAGCGAAACGCTTATGCCAAACAAATTTAAACCAAGGGACTTTAGTATGATCTGCATAATAGTGATTGTAAAAGGTGTTGTAATTAGCTTTCTCTTTGCCCATCCAAAGAAGAGGGGATGGGGCAGTTTGATGTATAATGGTTGCTCTGATACGGTCCAAGATAGAGGGACCAAAAATAGTGGGCAAAGACCAATCTCCAGCAGTAATATAGGCACTACCATCCAGATTGTTACAAAATGATGGAAGAATGAAGTCAGAAACAGCAAAGCCTTGACACCATGGATCCCAAAACATTGAGAAATTGCAATTCTCCTTAGTAATCATAAAAGATATATTTCTCTTAATCTTGTCAGCAGTAAGGCAGATCAATTTCCAGAATTTGGAAGCTTTAGGAGCGGGGGGCTTCCAAGGAGAGCAGAATTTAGAGATAAACCACCTAGCAGTCAAAGATTTGGAGCAATACAAGCGCCAAATAAAGGTGCAATCAAAGCCAAACCTAAGAGAATTAATAGACGGTAATCCAAGCCCCCCGAAACATTTAGGAGTGCAGCAAACCTTCCAAGAAATCAAATGCAGCTTCCTACCTTCATGAGAACCATGAAACAAAAATCTGGCATTAAGTTTATCAATAGCTTTGCAAATCCCTTTGGGTATAATAGCCCCACGAATCCAATACGCCAGAGTATTAGCAATGGTGAATCTGATATATTGTATCCTACCTGCAAAAGACAAGAATTTAACTTTCCAACTAGCAAGTAGAGTAGAGATCCTACTCAAGAGTGGTTGGAAGTGAGCAATAATAAGTTTAGAAGTGTGAAGAGGGATGCCAAGGTAGGTAAAGGGATTATCCAATCTGGTAAAGCCAAGCAAGGCAGTGATGGCCTCAGCCTCAGGAGTATGATTAGAGAAGGAAATGGAGCTCTTTTGGTTGTTAATAGTAAGGCAAGACTGCTCAGCAAAGGATTTGAGAGAAGCTTGAAGGGAGATGGCATTAGAAAGAGAGGCCTCACCAAAGATCAATAAGTCATCTGCATAAAGCAGATGGTGCACAGAACAACGACTCCCATTAGAGATACCAACAAAATTCCCTTGATTCAGCTCACAGGAAAAAGCATCCATAACCACCGCAAACAACAAAGGGGATAACCGGATAAGGGACAACCCTGCCGTAAGCCAGAAGAAGAGGAGAAGAATCCCTCAAGTGCCCCATTGATACAAACAGAGAAGTAAACATCTTCAATGCAAGCTTTAATCCAACTCACAAAAATTGGAGGGAACCCCTTCAAAATGAGCCGAGATAAAAGAAAATCTCTAGAAATACTATCAAAAGCTTTGCGAATATCAAGTTTAGCGCAAAAGAATTTCTTCTTAGGATTCCCGTTAAAGCAACTAAGAATATCCGAGGCAAGGATAATGTTGTCAGTTGAAATTCTCTTCGCAATAAAACCACCTTGGCTATCATGGATAATAGAGGACAAAACCACTTTCATACGATTAGCAATGAGCTTGGCAATCAACTTGTAAAAGACATTACATAGAGAGATGGGTCTATAGTCAGAGACAGTGGATGCATGATTACTTTTGGGAATAAGCTTGATAGTCATCACTTTAGCACATCTCGGGAGCAAAGAGGAATTAAAAAAGTGTTTAATGGCTCTACAAACATCAACTCCAATAATATCCCAAGCATTTTTATAAAATTCAGCATTGAAACCATCAGGACCCGCAGCCTTATTATTCGGGAAGGCAAACAAAACCTCTTTAATTTCAGAATCAGTCACCATACAAATGAGGGAGGGAAGAAGAGGGGTGGGAATAACAGAGCCAGCAGCTAACGGGATAGCAGCACAATTGAAGTTCTTTGGAGGGTTATATAAAGTCTGAAAGTATCTAATAGCCTCCTTAGAAATATCCATATGAGTAGAGAAAATGTTGCCCTCAAAGTGCAGTTCATTAATCCGATTGTAACAATTCATGGTTTTGATATTGGCATATAAAAAACCCAAGTCATCTTCACCTTTAGAAAGCCAATTGGCTTTAGAACGTTGAATTAACCACGAGCTCCAAGCATTTTGGAGCTGAGAAACGGATGTGGAAATATTTTTTAAGGCAGCATTGAGATTGGGATCCAAAGGTATGTCTTGTATTTGAGAGAGGCAATAATTATGTAATTCTTGAAGCTCAAAGATTCTGTTGGAAATATAGGAAGAGTTTGACCAATTTTTTGTCTTTATAATCCTTTTCAAAGAGTGCAGCTTGTAGTAGAAGGCATTAATAGGGCTGTCATTGTGAGGAGCAGCAAAAGCAGAAAATAAGGCATCCCAAAAACCTTTAAAGTAAACCAAATAGTTTTTGAATTGAAACCTGGTATTAATCTTGGTTGGGCTACCCGGTAAAATGATAAGAGGTGAGTGATCTGATGTTGACCCCTACACATCAGACCACACGAGAAAGGACTCAAACTGGTAAATAAAGCAATATGTGCATTGATGAAACACATCAC